GTGTTTTTTGATTTATCTAGAGCTTCTTCAAATTCTTGATATGTGATGGGGAAATTTAGTGGATTATCACTATCTATTATAGATATATCTGTCATTTCACGTTTATTTTTGAAATCTAAAAATGCGGGATTGAAGTTTGCATTGCTTGAATTATTCTTATATACATCTGACATAATATTACTAATTTCTTGTTTGGAAGATATTAATTTGTTTTTATAATAAAGATGTTAATATGAATTGAGTTTTGTTCACCTTTTAATGTACGAACTTTATTCCAGATTGTAGTCATAGGTGTTGATGAATTTATGGTAGAGACATAATTTGACCATGTTTCTTTTTTACTTTTCTTAATAAGATATTTAGTTTTTGCTCTAAGTTTTTTAAAATTGATAACATTTTCTGTTGTTTTATGTCTTTTTAAAACATTGAAAGCATGTTTGCTAGATTTCATAGCTAAGGCTATTTCTTCACTCCACCATGGTACTGGTTTTCGTTTACAAGGTTTTGTTTTTCCCACTGCAATATTAGCGCATTTTACTATAGTATCATTGAAATGATGAAGAGATGAATCTATGCTATCTTCTAGAATAAAGTTCGTAAGATAATTATTTAATAGATCTCTATATAAGTCCCAGTTTGCTGAGTTTAATTTCCATTTTTGGTAAACAGGAATATTTGGTTGATCATGCAAAATGGTTTCAATTGTTACAGGAAAATGATCGCTATTATATAGATAATCAAGACTATTCCAAGAAAAACTTGTAGCTAATGTGTGATCACACAATGAAATATCGATGGCAGAAAAAGTACTATTGTGGGAGCTGAAATGAGTAGATTTACCAGTATTCATTAAAATTAGATTTTGATTGTCTATTAATTTCTGAAGAAGTCTACCACATTTGTCTGTTTTTATACTACCCCATGTGATATTATGACAATTCAAGTCACCAAGTATTAGTTTGGGAGCAGGCATATCATCGATTAAGCGATGTAATTCTTCAAGTACATTTTCATTTGGATGAGGGAGGTAAATGTTACATATGTTAATAGGTCTGCAGTTGATATTGCATGACACTGATACAGCTACAGCTTCTAGATTAGTGTGTAGCTTAATTTCTTTGGTCTGAATGTGATTTTTTTACAAAAATACCAACACCTCCACTAGCATATGTTGCGTCTCGATTTTTAAGGAAATGGGAATAATTTTTTATATTAAAGTTATTACTTTTAAGGTGGGTTTCCTGTAAACATATTACAAGAGGAGAAAGATCGTTTATAAGTAAATTAAGGATTCTAAATTGTTAAAATAACCATTAAGATTCCACTGTAATATAAATGTATTATCCATTTTATTTTACAACGTGGGAAAGGGAGTTATCGCTTTCAATATCCGAGGATGAATCGGTAACTAAGGATTGTATCTTTTTTCGAAGTCTTGTTAGTTTATTTTTTATTTTGCGATCATGAATATGGTCATGGGCGAATAGAAGTATCTCTTTAAAAGAACTTATATTGGTTGTGTAATTTTCTACAATGGGGGTAGGATAATTTGAGTTTAATGCGTTACATATCGCGTCACAAAGAACTGTAAATTTAAGAGGAAATGTCGGGTATTTAGATTCGATTTTACCTTTAATAGATTCAAGTGACTCGAGGATATCAGATTGTGATGATTTTGGCCGCTTAACTGTATTTTTGGGTTTGGTAAAAATTGTTGGATCGGGTGGGGTTTCATGTATCTCAGGAGAGTCAGTAGATATTTGTCTCTTTGTTTTTTGATGGGAGGCATCAGTGTTCAAAGTAATAGGATTGTTATTTTTAGTCGTTTCGTTGTGAATATCTTCTGTTGTTATTTGAAAGTTAGTGGTATTATTAATAGGATTTCCTGCTTCTGTTGTAAGATTTTGAGGTTTAGACGGAAGTGATATTGTAGATTGAGATTCAATGGGCGTTTCAGTTGATGTCAATTGTGATAGAACAGGGCAGTCTGTTTCGCGATGACCTTTTGACATACACTTAGGGCAATTTAAGTCAGTGGATAGATAAATTCGATAGTTGGTGTTGTCGAAGGATATTGTAATGAAATCTGGGATAGTGATGTTTTCAATAGGAGTGATAAAAATTTGTCTTCGAAAGCTTAAAACGTGGTTATAGGCAGTGTCCGGCATTCCAACTCGCAGAAAAGTCATCTGGGATACAGTATTAAGTCCTAATTTTTTCAGCTCAACTTCAAGTAATGAGTTTGGTATGGTGGGACAGACATTTGAGATGACCAGTCTTGTAGCAGGAGTAATTAGACGTCTTACTTCAACTTCTGAATCATTAATGGATATTGATGTATGTGTCTTCAGCAATGTATTGACGACTTCGGTATTGGAGAGATAAATACAAATTCTGTTATTTGAGATGCGAGATGCAAATAATATATTTTCTGGTTTTACTATATTTCCTATTGCTATCACGTATTCATTTATTTTTATTCCATTGAGAGCAGATAGGACAATGGCTTGGTTTTTGGTTGGATATTTAAATGAAGTAACAGCGTTGGAATATGAACATGGTTGATTATTGTTAGGAGAAGAAACAGAACCAACAGAATCTTCATCCATTTTTAAAAATATTATTCATATTTTGGTACCTCTATTCTTCAGACGGTCCTGTTTGTCACAACAGAATCGGTAATGAGGTACCAAAAGTTGTGGAGTTGATAAATCCGGTAGCAGGAACTTGTTTTGATATAAGTATCTTTAATTATATTATAATAAATACTACTTACAGTTTTTTTCCAAGTAGTTCAAATTTATTTTTATATTAACACTACACTTTATTGCAATTTTATCAACTGAATATAAATAATATCGCAAAAAACTAGGTGTAATTAGGCTAGCTATTAAACACGTCTGTTAACGACAAAGGTTCGACGTGAAGTCCAAATGTTGAATTTATTTCCTATCCTTTTAAGTTTTTCTGATAATCCTTTTATGTACGGTATTGTTATTTTCCTCATATTATTCCTTGTGTATGCTGTAGGATCTTGTTCTAAGTTGTTCTGTTCTATTCGATCGATTGTTGAAAATTCCTTATTTATAAACGATAAAGGATAATCATTTTTTAATAAAATAGATGTTAACAAATGTTTCTCCTCCAAGAACGAATTTTCGTTAGAACAAGTAATTTTGGCTCTATCGTATAAGGATTTAATTATTCCCTTTTTACATTAATATTGTGATTTGATTTAAAACTTAAATATCTATTGGTGTGTGTTGGTTTTCTATACACCTGAGTCTCATATCCAGTATCGTTAAACAAAAACAAAACAATTATAGGTCTACGTCATCGAATGATTATTGTCATAAATATAGGTCAGGAGATTGTCATAAATATAGGTTACTATACATCATAAATATATAGTCCCAAACCCTTTTTTCAGTGCGTCATATTTGTTCGAATTCTCTCTAACGCATTAAGCTTGAAGTGACAGAAAAAAACGTGAGTCTGTGATTATTATACATAGAACTTAGAAAATTAAGTATCGTTCACGGGTATTCGCATATTAAAGCGAATTCTTTTTACGGACGTATAATTGGTTGGAGTTTAGAATCTAGTATAGTATCTAGTTTTTTAACTAAACTCCATTAACACGATTTCATCTGGATACCTTAACTGGTAGATTAACTCAAAAATCAACTGCTTCACTATTTAAACTAGTTACATTGTTTTTTTAACTAAGTTATATAACAGTCTTTCATTTGTACACCAAATCTAATAGAATAACTCAAAAATCAACTGCTTCACTATTTAAACTATTTCCATTATTTAATGGCAAATCTTCACAAAATTAAACTATTGGCTGCCACAGAAACTTATCGGAAAATTACTTATCCAAATATGACTGATTTAAATCGATGTTATTTTATCACAGGAATGTTTACTTTGATGCCTTGCAATTGCAATTGTCAGTAATTTTTTTTACCTTGCAGTCAACTCTTAAAAGATTCTAGGAGGAAGCGTTATTTTAAATAAACAAACCTTCCAATTTCATAGTGTTTGTAATAAATAATAATAAATCCATAAACAAATCTTAGCTAATTAAGCACTTTCCTTGGAATGTATAAAATAGAACAGAATAAAATAGAACTATGACAAACTGCTATGCATTAAAAAAAAATAACCTTTTCACATTTAGCCGATTACGATCCTGCAACTGTCAGATTTAACTAAAATGTCATGCAATAATTCTCGACATTCTTAAAATCCTATATGACGTCAAAATTAGTGACGCACTAAAAGAAGGGTTTGGGATATACTGTACGCACTTACTGCAGGACATCCAGATGAAGAATTCCAAATATTTTACGATCAAATATACTGTACAGTCAAGAAAAATCCTGGCAATTCTTAATTATAGTTGGCAATTCCAACGCCAAAATTGGCACTTAGGGAGACCCCTTTAAAAAAATATTGGGAAATTATGAAAGTGAAGCATAAATGATAAAGGCAAACAATTGTTAACCTTCCTTTTGGAAAACAATCTTTATCAACTGAATAGCTTCTTTAAAAAAAAGAAAACACAGAAAAATGGACATGGTTAACCCCTGATGGAAAAATAAGAAATAAAATCGACCATTTTTTTAATATACAAAAAAGAATTATTTAAATACGTAAATGTGTTAAACCAGTTTAGTCCAAGCAATGATCATATATATACCAAGCATATATAATAAATATATACATATAATAAAAGTATACCAAGCATATATTCCGTTTTCGTGCAATTTAACTTTTTTATTTCTTGTTATAAAATTATCTACAATAACATTCCTCTCACATATGGTCATATTGTTTAACATAAACTTACTGAAATTACCTCTCTTAACGGTAAAGCCCTCCTTGATATGTCATATTTCCAAAGGTGAAACTCTTTAGCGCGTAGGAGTTTGAAAAAATCGAATCAAGCTGAAGACTTCATAAATGGTCAGACAAACAAGTTATCCTTTGCACGAGTGACTACGCATCGTCCTGGTGGGGACACAAGTCGCGCGTTTCGTCCTTACACCGCCAAATTCAACCAGTATTCGATTGATTTTGCACGAGGTTGTACATAGTGCTCATAATTTAATTTTTATTTTTGGAATATACATCACTAAAACAAATCGTAAGTTTTAATTTTTTTTTTTCTAAATGTTGTTTCTTTACAATAATACATATTAATATTATTTATGAATTTTAAAACAATACAAAATTAAATTTTAATAAAAAATCTAAATCAGTTATTTACATATTTTAATGACAGAAATTGTAATTTTTGGAAGTAAAACCATATAAATGAAACTTATTTTAAAGCAAAACGTTACTCTTTTGTAATTTTTCAAATTATTAAATTGGGACATAACTTTTTTAATTTTGTACGATTATTTTCAAAAAGTTGTCAAATAACTTTTCGATGATCTATTGATGGTTTAGTATTGTAATTTCTAATATGTATGTAAGTTAGTAGTAAACGTTTTAGAGAGCTTAATTTGATGGTCTATTAACAACTATGAGATGCTCGGAATTTCTGATTAATAAACAATGTTCTTTTCCAATCTTCTTAGCTCCATTTTCCAATGTCATTTCACCACGCAAATATTTCTGAATGAATTATCTCTAACTGTTTCTTAACATTTTAACTTTTAATGAGCAGATCTTTCAGCTTAGGTTTTGGCTGTGTATATTGATGATGACCGTATGCATGTTTTATATATTTTAAACATTGCTTCCTATATTTATGTATATTTTCTTCTAGCTATATCTTTCGGTGGTTTCCATATTCCTTTCTAATTTTTGTTTTATTTACATCTTCTATAATAGGCTATTGTTTGTGTTACTATTCCTGTTTATTTATATTATTTTTTGGCACGATTGATATGTAAATTTATTAGTCAAGAAAATTGTTTTCTATTTTAGCGCGATACATTGTGCAGCAACTTATCTTGCTTCGGAGCAAGTTGTGTCAGAGTATGGACCCGTTTTTTAATTTAATAGTATAATTATATATATATATATATATATATATATATATATATATATATGATATATATATATATATTATATATATAATATATATATATATATATATATATATATATATATATATATAATAAGCTAACAGTTAGCCCTACACTCCAAGACAGATCAGAGGTAATGTAAGTCGATAAAACCTCACCAGCTACAGGGGGTCATATAAGATGCCCCCATTTTCATTTTTTATTAATACACAATTTAAGAGTCTATTGCATTTATCTTAATAAATACCATGAAGATTACTTTTTAAATCCGAATGTCCATCCAATGTTTTTTATGTGGCCATACAATGTTTTTTTCAACAACTTTTTATTAAACTGATGATGGTATGATACAATTCCGAAAAGATCTTCTTTAAAATAAAAATTTTAAGCTTTTAATAAGCGCTTTTTTATACCTTAATACACACGAACATCACGTGCTTTGTAACCTTATTTCCTATTTTAACTTTCGATATTGTGTTCTTATATAGATCTTTAATAGCGTCGATTAGTGGAACGCTGATACTGGTTTTCTCCAATACTTCCCACAATTTCGCAACAGGGACGGTGTCATATGCTTTTGTTAAATCTACTAGAAGTAAATGCATTTCTCAAGATCTCAGTGTTCTTTTCTCGAGTATTTGGGATAAGCAGAAAATACTATCTATTGTGGATCGTCCTGCTCTAAATACGTTTTGTTCTTCTGATTCAAAAGGACTCCTTTCTTGTTGAAAAAGGACGGAGCACGTCCATTTTCAACAATCATACAGCTTTTTTAGTTTCTTCGATGTTAATTGTTGGAGGCTCTCCTTGAATCAGGATTTCATGTTGTTCTATGTTTTTGTATTCCGGTCTGTCTTCTACTGTCCGGTCTGTGTTTTATAGTGTTTTTCCCATTTTTCGGGCTCTATGGAGTGTATGGCTATTTGGTATAATTTTAAATTATTTTTATTTTTAAATTAAAAATATAAAAAGTAGATATTATATAATAAACACCAAGTTATTTATCGTTATCCATTTCTCACTACCGTTGTCATTTAAACAATTAATGCATAAAAAATCACTGCTACCTTCCCAACCGCATTTAATGTGCTCACTGATGCCAAGAAACAAACTTGATCCAGTTTTTACCAGGTTTACTATTTTTTTAAAGGTGTCGAAACAGTAGAGGCACGAGCAGTCTTCGTCGTTTGTGGAATCAGCAGATATTTGATGATTTTTTTTAACTTGTTTGTTTTGTTTGCTTTATCTTTTTGAAATAATTTTTTCCTTGATGGAATCTTTCTGAACTGCTCTTACCTAAAAGCTTTTTGCCTCTTCATTTTCAGCTTCGTGTCTCTTCATTTATTAAAATATTCTTCTTCTTAGAGTGCCATATCCCTACGGAACGTCGGCGACTACCATGCTTATAATATTGTTATACTGATCTCGGTATATATAAATATATACCTTTTACAAAGGATTTTAATAATTTTTTTTTAACTTCTCTCGTAATTTCGATGATCTATATGTTATTACAGTCAAAATAAAAATTAAGTATCCATTTGTATTTGTTATACCTTTTGTACTATTTGTCCATTTTTTGATTGTCTTATGGAAAATTTGTCCCAATCTATTAACCTCTCTACCATCATTTTATAATATTGACAGTCTTATTTACATTTAATTATACTCATTATTTTGTAGTTTTACTCAGTTCTCAACACTTTTATTGATTATTTTTTTACGCCCACGACTGGTATTTGTTACATAGAAACTAAAATACTCCAGTAATAAACAATAATTTAAAAAAAATAAGTATACCCATTTTTTATTAATAACAGTATCATTTTAATTGTAACCTTGAGATTGTTGATCCAGTAATTATGCAGAAAACTGGAACGATTATAAAATAAATCTACGTGACTTGCATTTGTAGTCCCAGTTGGCGCCGTGTGTAGTGAAAGTATGTGATGGTAATTAGGTTTTTAGTATAGTGTCTCAATGAAATACTCAAGTAGCCAACAACTTATTTAAATCGAAAAGTTGAACGCCACTATTAACTTCAAGTCTTTTGTAAAATGCAGGGTGATTGATTAGAGTGATAAAGCTCAGTAATTCCGCTATAATAATAATCATCAATTACCCTATATTTGTCCACTGCTGAAAGTAGGCCGTAAAATTTTCCACCTATTTCTATTTTGAGCTTCTTGCATCCCGTTTGTGGTAATGCGCTTGATATCATCCATCCATCTAGTCGGTGGTCGTCCTCTGCTTCGATATGCATCTTGCCTTGGTTGCCATTCGAGAATCTTTCTGGTCCATCTATCATGCGATAATCTGGCAACATGTCCGGCCCAAGCCCATTTAGCCATAGCTATTTTTTCAACTGCATCTGTGACTCCTGTTCTTCTTATTTCTAGGTTTGGTACTTTATCTCTGATGGTAATACCTAATATTGATCTTTCCATAGTCCAAATCACCTAAGATTTGCAGATGATGTATTAATCGCAGATAATTTACAAGATACAGTTTCTATGATGCATTCGCTTAAAAGTCTGTCTGAAAGAGCAGGATTAAAGATAAACTTTGAGAAAACTAAACTTATAACAAATCTCGTAATGAGTGGAAATATAACTATTGACAATAATTCCATACAACAAACAGACACTTACAAATATCTGGGACACGAAATCAAAATAAGCAGAGACAATCAAACACATGAAATACAGAGGCGAATAGCCCTAACTTGGGCAGCATTTGCCAAAATAAGCCATATTCTAAAAAGTTCAATTCCCATGTGTCTCAAGCGAAAGGTTTATAACCAATGTGTTTTACCTGTACAAACTTATGGAGCAGAGACTTTAACACTCACGCAAAAATCTGCGAATAAACTCAGAGTTACACAACGAGCCATGGAAGTGCAATGCTGTACGTGAGCCTTCGAGACCACATAACAAACCAACAAATTAGGCAAAGATCAGGAGTTCAAGACGTCATCGAAAGAACCACGTCGCTTAAGTGGAACTGGGCAGGGCACTTAGCCAGAGCACAAGATGGACGGTGGACAAGATGTATTATGGAATGGAGGCCTAGAAACTATAAAAGAAGCCGAGGACGACCACCGACTAGATGGACCGATGATATAAAACGTGTAGCGGGAAACTGGCTACAAGCGGCCCAGTGTAGAGAACACTGGAAAGAACTGAGGGAGGCCTATGTCCAGCAGTGGACGCGATTGGCTGATTGATGATGATGATGTCTAAGTCCACGTTCTATTCGAAACTGCTTGGTATCTTTATAAAGGCGGACACAAGCTGTACCAGTTTCGTAAATACTTTTAATTAAGGCGATATATCGGTAGTCAATGTGGCAGTCAGCCAATGCTTGAAGCATTTTATGATGATCTATAGTATCAAACGCCTTTTCATAATCTACGAACACAAGAAATATGGGCTTGTTATATTCTGTACACTTTTCTATTAGCGTTTTTATAACTTGTAGATGATCATTTGTTCCGTATCTGGAGCGGAACCCTGTTCGCAAGGTTATTAACTATCCAGTTTGTTCACAAGCCGTTTTGTTATTATCCTCATGAATAGTTTGTATGTCTATATCTATAATAATAGATAGCAATAAAAGTTAATAACAAAAATTGTAGGCAACTTTGAGGTTTATATTAAAAAAATTAGTTAGAATATTACAGGGTATTCGATAACATAGTGACAGAGCAAACTCACAACAATATAAATTTTTATTATATTATTCAGAGTATTTACAAAGTTATAACTAATTTTCTATGAAAATCGTAATAAGTTTAACTCCATGTAATTAAAAAGGAGCACTAAAGTTTCGTATGATATCAAATCTCGGAAATCTACGGAAACAGGACCTATACTAGTACAGAAATAAGAACAGCCATACTATCACTAAAAGAAGGGAGAGCTCCATGGCCAGACAAAGTACAGTCTGAATTTCTTAAAGTTCTTGTTCATGAATATTTAAGAATACTATGTAAACTCTTCGATAATATCTATGACACAGGCAATATGTAAAAATATTGGCTAGTTTCAGAATTTATTACGTTACCAAAGAAGCAGGGGGCGAAAAGTACGAAAAATATAAGCTAATA